CAGTGTAGAAAAAAAGAAGATATAGTGGATTGTATTTTCCAATAATAGGCATATTATTTTCTTTTTGATATGACTCTGAAACTTCTCATTGAGAGGTGGAGTCCATGTTTCCTCTTCTTTGATATGGGAGGTTTGTGACTCCCATAGAGATAACATGATGTGACTTCCAAAGTTATAAAAAATGATTCCACTTCTCTTGGTTTTCTTGTGATACTCCCTTTTGAGACCCAGCTCCCCTGCTGCCAGGAAGTCCAAGCAGCTCTGGGTGACCAGTCACTTCATCTGGTCCTAGTTGATAGCAGCGTCAACAAGGACACATGTGGATGAGAAAACATTTGAATGAGTTGGGTCCCAGCCCCTGAATCACCCTTTGATTTTTTAACCCCCCAACAGAAGCCCCAAAAAATGGAAAACAAAAAAAAAAATGTGTTTGAGGGACCCTTTCTGAATTTATGACCCAGAGAATTTTTAAGCATGATAAAATGATTATCATTTAACACAACCAAGTTGTTTCTCCTCCTCCTTCTCCTTCTTCTTCCTCTTCCCCTTCCTCTTCTCCTTCTTCTTCATGTGGCAATGGTAACTGAAACAGGTGACAGGAAAGAAGGAATGGAAAAAACAAAACTGAAAACAACAACAACAAAACAGGCTTCAGTCCTCCTGAAAAATTAGAAAAGATTCTGTAGATAGTTGCATTCGTTTTTTTAGTGTAGATACTCCAGAGAAGTAGTCTAACGGTTTCTGGGGGAGCCCTTGGCATCATGGGCATCAGGAAGGTGGCCACAATAAGCAGCTGGGAAGAAACACCCTTATCCTCAACCAGCTGACCATCATTAAAAACCAAGAGGGTGGCCAAATGGGGCAGGATTTACTAGTGTCTTTTCCCAGGAAGAAAAACCTAAGAAAAATTGTGTTTTGTGTAAAGATTACTCATTAAAAAGATTACTTCTAACCTTCTGGAGCTTATCCTGAGTCATAGTTAATTACATACATAGCAAAGTAGCATTCACTTCTTTGCATAATTTGAATCACAAGAGACATATATAAGTCTTACTAGTAGATCATTTAAAGAGAAGACCCTTTGACTTAATTTTGTCTACTCCCTGTATGAGAAAGTTTAAGAATCAAGCATAAGATTCCCAAATCCTGGTATATGTATATAATAATATCTTAAAAAAAGGTTTTTAAAAATCTATTATGAAAATGACAAATGGATTTGAGAATGAATTGATCTGCAGTGAGAATTACTTGTACAGTGTATCCTGTGTTCATGTAGTCACAGCCCTATTTGGCTACACTGTGAATTCTGACATCAAGGCATAGTTCTGTATTACTAGTGAGCTAGTGACAATCTTTAATCAATGTACCAGCTCTGAATACTGTTTTCAGGATTTGCATATTCTTTCTTGGGTAAGTCACTCCATTTTTGTCTTTGCTATCTGCCATGTTGAAATATTCTCCTTTTTTGATTCAGGAAATTTGTGAATTTTTAATCTTTCCTGTATCCTTATTCAGAATACAGTTTCTCACTGAGCCTAAAAAAATCAAAATTGTTTCCTACAGATTCTCTTTTTTTTTCTTTAGTAATTTTTAATTTGTGGGGTGGGTGGGAAGATGGATGCTTTTTCAAAGCCCACCACTGCAGATGTTGTCAGAAGGGGAGATTGAGGCACTGTGGAGGAGTGATTATGGGAACAGACTCTGGAGCTAAATATGTAACCTTAGGCAAGTTACTTATCCCTACAGATGTTCTTGTTCCCCCCTAACATATTAATTATTGGCTACCAACTTTACCTGTTAACAAAGAAGTAGTGGAATAATTTTATAGCTCTCTGGCTTAACCAAAGCACTCTTCCTGTTTAGTGGTGATGATTTCCTTTCTACCCACACCATCCACACTTTTTTTTCCCTCCCAGAGGGTGTAACATTTGTGGTATACTATGGTAGCAGAAAGGGAATTTTAAAACTCATTTGGAGGGAAAGGGTCTCTTTCAGTTTACAGTATAAGATGAAATGATCTATTTTGTGCTGCTTTCACATTTATCATATTACACTATTAAATATTATCTCAGAGACTAGCCCATCTAGGAAGTTCTGTATAATCACTTTATGCATTGTCATGGGGACCACATTTGTAGGATGTGGGGCATGATAACCCTGTGGTTAGGAAAGCAGCTGTTCCCAGTTGTAAGACATACAACACAAAGTGAAATAGTCACAAAATTATCCCGAGCTTTCGGTGGAAAGGGAGAATGTCACAGAAGTTAATTTGTCCACTTCACATAATTAGTATGTCCTAGAATCTGGTTTAGGTTCAAGTTCATGTTTTGTTATTTTCCTTTGTTACATTTATTTTTATATTACACCTTACCCTCAAGGAGGATGCATCAGGGTTGCCTGCCTTCTACAGGAGGAAAAGGTTTGTATGTACAAAACTGAAGATGAGAATTTGCCTGACTGTTAGTATAATATGCAATATGCACAAAATCCCAGCCCCTGGCTCCCAGACCCTCATCTGTCTTCTCAAACCTTTCTTCATCATTCCTGTACACTTCTGCCAAACTGCCCTTTTTAGTAAAGGAGATCCACCACACCATTCTGTTGATAGCGTGGACCTCAAGTGGGCTGATAATCTAATCTTCATGTATTTGAGAGTGAGTAATCATATACTACATGTTCTTGAAATGTGGTCTCTGAACTGGCAGCATCAGCAGTCCTAGGAACTTGTTACAAAGGCAAATTGCTCCAGATCTATTGAACCAGAAATTCTGGGAGAAGGTAGTTTAAGACCTGCAGTTGATTTTGATTCATATGAAAATTTGAGAACCACTTTTATAATCAAAATTCTTAGAAATCTCTTTTGTTCATAATTTGTCCTCAGTTGTGAGGATAATTGTGTAGACTATCCTTTAGTAATACAGCATCAAATAAAGAGATCTGTCATGTACACACTTGTTAAGCATCTACTGTATGCACAGGAGTATGTTAACTACTTTAGTGAAAGAAAAGAAGAATAAAATAAGCTTCTAACCTTCTGGAGCTTATTCTGAGTGAATGAATAAGTGGATCATTTTTGATTTGGTGATACAGTAGAGATGAAAACAACACAGTAGCCTACCTCTTTGTTGGCGTTCCGAAATACCCTCTTACAAAATGCAAAATATGGGCTAAATGCCTCACTGTATCATTGATAGATATTACCAAACCACCCCTTGTTCCTTTCAGAGATGGAAGAATAAAGATTACTGATTAAAAGTTTAATCATTTGAACCATAACGTTCACCTGGTTAGTGACTGAAACAGAATATATGACCTCATACTTCTTTGACATTGCTTCTGCCTTATAAATCAGTCTCGGTCCAAGGAATTTGAGGCTAAATCAGAATCAAAAAGTCACCTTCTACCTTCTCAGTGATTAAACAGATTTGCAACAGACTTTCCCTTCTATTTAACTTTTATTAAAAGAAGTGCTAAGGTACTGGGATGAAGTACATCATATTTATTACCAAAATTATTAACAAATATACAAAACTTATACATGTAATTTTCTTACATCCATTTATTCTCTATAATACTGATTTTGTTCAAGTAGGTTATCTACAGTATGTAAACATCCCTTGGATTGACCTCACACAGATTAGGAAAGCCCTCTAACCCATGCTTTTATCAGATACTTCTTTTTATTTGGCTTTCATTTGTAGCATCTAATCTCCACATTTGGCACATGGAAGAGACATCTACAGTGCAAAAGAGGCAGATTTTCTGGTTTCATTCTGAACACTTTTGCAGGGGCATAAAGAGCTGAGAGGAGAACAGAAGCACTCTAACTCAACGGTACTGGATTAGCTATGCCAACAACTCTTGGTTCAGCTATTAAACTTGAGCACAAAGTCCATGTCTCTTCCTTCTCCCACCCTCCCACCCATCCCCCATGCAAGGCTGATTCAGTCTTCACCTTGTCTCAAAAGGGTTAAAAGAAATTCCATCCATTTCGGAACAAGTAGGTTAACTTCCCCGAAGAACAAATTTTCAGGGTTCTTGTGTGTGGGTTGGTTTCTGCGGTTTGATCATACAGCGAAACTCCTAAGTGGAAAATAAAAATGAATTCGACGTTTTTATTACCTGCGTTCACTTACCATCTCTGTATTTAAGACAAGTACCTTTGTTGTGGTGGCAAAGTGACAAAGGCTTTGGTGAATGGCAAAAAAAAAAAAAAAAAAGACAGGCTTGTCTAACACCTTGGACTCCAAGCCTTTGAATACAGTGTCAAAAAAATTAAAGAGAAAAGAAAAAAGACAATTGGAGATCCTGCCTTCCTCTTCCTGGGTTTCCTTTTGATTATTTAAATTAATCTGACCAAGTAAAGCTGATCCAGAGAGAGCTCTGTTCACCCCGCTCACCCCATCCTCACTCTCCAGCACAGTATAGTGCGTGTGATCGGCTGCACCTCGTCCGCGAAGTAGCCTCCGAGAACGTCTGGATTTGGACGTGCACCTGCCTCCTGGCTTCCGTTACCACAGGGGCGTGGGCCCCTCCGACGCCCCGTAGAGCTCCGCCAGCTTCCGGAAGCGGGGCCCCCAGTCGGTGAGGAAGTCGAAGCTCTGCTCTGAGTCTGAGGTGGCCGACTGCAGGGAGCTCAGAGACCCCGCCACGGAGCCATCACCCTCGAACATGTATGTCTGCAGGGAGTCAAAGGGTGGGGCCCACAGGTCCATGTCGGCCTCGTAGAGTTTGGCCAGCACGTAGCTGTGGACGGTGCTGTTGACGGCGCACGTCTGAGGCACGTAGCGGGAGAGGCTCTCGATCTCGGGCAGCATGTCCTGCCGCATCTTGGGGGCGGCTCCCGCCTGCGCCTCCCGCGGGTTCCACATGGCCGCGATGTCAAAGGCCTCGGTGTCCTCCTCGCCGCCGCCCTCGTCGTCGTAGCGGACGATGTTTTCATGGATGTTCTCCTCGTCGTCGATGATGTACGGCTGCTTCCGGTGCCGCCTCATGGACAGGATGAGCAGCACCAGAACTGCCGGGAAGAGGAACAGGGCGTTTATGGTCAGAGCCCCCGCGTGTGCTGTCCCTAGAAGTACCCGCCCTTCGCCCCAGGTTCAGGAAGAACTGGAAAGGTGAGCTCGGAGACCGCGCGTGGGTACGCTAGTCCTCAGAGAGCTGATGGCTACCTACTCCTCCTCGCTCTTTCTGCCATTTAGACTGAGAACGTGTGGGCAAAAGTTGCCCTGTGTTTCTTCAGTTGGTTCAGTTAAAAAGTGAGATGTGAAGTCTCCGCATCAGCTTTCTGCTTTGATACTGCGCGTGTGCGGGTGCGTGCGTGCGTGCGTGTGTGTGTGTGTGTGCGCGCCCACCCAATCTAGTGTGAAATCCCACTTAAAAAGCACAAAGCACTATGTCCTGCCGTGAAATAAGCTAAGCATCCTTCATGTATCTGCCCATATAACAGTGAATATACATTTATTTTGTAATGTGAAGGTATTATGTGGGTGAAATTCTGCTTTCTTATGTTAGCATCTTTATAGGATTCTAACTCTAAATATAATCATATATTAATTAATATGCATATAGACACATGAACTGAATATGAACTAAAGTCGTTGTCTTTTTATACCCCCTCCAAAAAAAAGTAAGAGCATAAATGAATAAACCGTGTGGTGCATTCCTCAGGAAAGCCTTTCATTAGAAAGGTAGTTGTGGCTTGCTGGATCTAGTCATTTTCATGGAAGGGAGGGAATGAGCAGTGACATGTTATATAATTCATCATGTTATCAAAGAAACACTACACTGTTAGATGTGCCCTTGCAGGTTTGGATAAAATTTTATCCCAACAAATGCACCATTTTTTTAAAATTTTATTTTTAAGAGTGTGTTTGCTGGGATTTAGAAGAGAGAAAGAGAGAATCCCATTGAACTGTTTATCTTTGTGACTGAAAATGTTTTTCCAGGAAGTGTGTTGAGGTTCTAGCTGTAGAACTGCTATTGATTTTTTTTTCTTGGTGTGCTTTGTTACAGCTGGTGAACAGTGACAGTTTGACAGCACTGCAAAATAAGACCCCAGTTTATCCAAGGAAAAAAATAGTGGCATATACTCATATTCAGTAAGAGATTACAGACCATATAACAAAGTTCACAACAATGACTTGTAAAGTATTTGAATGTAGAATGAGCTTTTCATATATATAGCAGTTAATTGTAAATAACTTTTTTTGTGATTAACTTGGTTGATGAAATGCACACACAGAAAATAATTACATACTTGTATGTATTTTTCCTGTGTGTAAAAACATGAGGTGTAGACTAGAACTATAGGATTTCAGGGAAAGAAACTAAAAGAACTTTAAAGAAGTGGGACTTCGAACTGAGCATCCAATACTGGAATGTAATTTGAATTGAAGGCAGATGGAAAAATGGGAGTCTAAGCGAACATGCTTTATTTGTGGGATTCAGTAAACAGTTACTAAAACTTAAATCTTTGTTTAGGCTCTATGTTAAGCAATGGGAAATAAGATTGGTTATGATATAGTTCCTGTTCTGATGAATTTGCAGGCTAAGAAGAGTATAAACATTGATGATAATACAAATCAGGCAGTAATAAGGGTTATAAGCTCACAGGTGTTACCACTAGATTCCAGAGACATGGTCAGTGAATTCTGGGGCAACAGGAAAGTGATTCACATAAGTAACCCTGGAGTGTCAGTGGTGATATTTTGGAAAATGCTAGGATACAAAATGAGAAAAATTTTTGAGTAGCCAGGCATTGTAGCATGCAACTGTAGTCCCAGCTACTCTGGAGGCTGAGGTAGAAGAATTGTTTGAGGTTAGCCTGGGCAACATAGTAAGCCTCTATCTCTTAAAAGAAAAAAAAATACGAGAAATGAAAGTCTTTGAGTATCTTCTGGAGGAAATTCTGATGGTGATGGAGAATTAGGCAGTGTATGGAACTGGTCCATCTTAATTTATTATTATTATTATTGCCATCTATCTTATTTTATTAGGTAATCTTATTTAATATTAAGTATCATATTACATCCTGAAAATCATATTTTGGGAAAAATGGTCCTTAGCTGAAAGGCTCCCCTGATTCCCTGACAGAAGAGAATCAGTTTTAGGTCTGTTTATTCTTGTTAGGCAAGCATTTTACCACTGAGCTGCATCCCTGACCCTTAATTTTTTCTCTTTTAAATTTTGAGATAAGATTTCACTGTTGCATAGGCTGACCTCATACTTGTGATCCTTCTGCCTAACCCTCCAGATTTAGCTGGGATTACAGAGGTGTGCCACCATGCCTAGTGGGATATTTACTCTTTAAGCACAACAGGCATAGTGAATAGACTTATGAAATTTTCTAAGAACTGGATACATATTTAAGACATTAAAAAATACCTGCAAAATCAAAACTGTCAAAATTAATGTGTTTGTTTAATTGTCCACAAAATGTAGTATTTTATTGACAAATCAACTGCAATTCAAATTTTACATGGTTTTATGAATTATATTTAATATGAGATGTGTACTCTAGAAATAAGAATGCATAAAACCATGTGGATTTTGTGATACCTTTTCTTAACTTAGCTCCTAAAAACTGTTTACTTATTCTGTACAGTTCAAAAGACAAGAAATAATGGGTTTGAGAGGGACGAAATAAATTATCCCTTGCACACCACTTCTAACTTGAGAGCTTCTCTGAGCTACTCTCTTTAAATCAGTCTTTCTGTAATGATGGCTTTTTTGGCAGGTCAGAGTAAACTTAGAGAAGGTTTTCCAAAGATAGAAGTAAGGGCATCCACTCTTGAAATGTCGCCTAGGCACAAGTTTTTTCAACAGCTTCTTACAGGTGGTCCTGTTCTGTACTCAAGGACTCCCGATGCCACCTTATGGACACACAAGGAATTTCAGGCAGGTTTTACTTGCCAGTATACATGGACCAGAAAATAAGTCTCTCTGATCCAGGGATCCAAGGACTTAGGAAGGTTATTCATTTATACTACTTCTTCCTTCATGTAAGACTGAACTATGTCAACAAAATTAAGCCACATGTTGTATTTTAAAATGTCTTGAGAGGGCTGCTTTACGGGCCTGCCTAGAAAATCAGTCAAATAGACATTGTTTTATAGTAGGGAATTTTCTTCTTTGCTCTGACTCAGTCTCTTGGTGTGTAGATGAACAAGAGATGGAGGGTGTGTGTAAATATATGCAAGTCTCTTTTAATTGAAATCCCTAGAGCTTTATTTTCTTCCCTCATAGAAAGCTGGGATTTCTTTTATATTAAATAATATTTTTGTATATTAAGTTTACTTTTCCCCAGGTAAGATGTATTTGCTTTGGCATAATTCAATAGAAGAGGTGGAATATATGTACGGATATTTTCTTGGCTTCAATAGATGATTTAGGTATTTGTCTTTGAATGTGGAATTCAAAAACAATGACACAGATGGCATTATGTATAAGGGAATTAAGAGGCAGTCTTGCAGTATGACTTAAGAGAAAAAAGTAAGTAACCCCTACCACAATAGTGCTATCCCTCTAGCCTGTCATCTTCTCTTTTTATTTCATCATCAGAGGCAAACTGGCCCTGTTTAGTCACTGATTTTTATATGATGGCCACATTGCCTAGCAGGGACAATAATGTCACAAGGAGCTTATTCCTCAGAAATCCACGTGGTTTATTTGATCACTTCCTTCAGACCTCTGTTCAAAGTTCTCTTTTTCTGTGAGGACTTCACTGACCACTCTACTTGAGATGGTATCTAGGCATTATCCCATCTTCCCAGATACACAACTTGTTCCTTTTCTCTGTAACACTTAGCCATCTCCAGAATCTGAAAAAGAGCACTCAGAAGGGCAGTGCTGCTGAGATGAGGTACCCATTTTATGTCCTCCTGCATTTCAGTTTGAGCTCTGCCTCTGACACTTGGCTTAGGGCCTGTCACTTACCTCTATGTGATTTAGCTACTACTAATCTGAAATGATGGAGTTATAAATGATTATTGTATCTTCTTTTAAATTTTAATTTTGGCTCTATGGTATAAAAATGAACTTGATTTGAAATAAACTCTGAAGACTGGGACATGTCTATCTTAATTCTAGAACCTAGCATGGTGTTCCAACCTATTGTATATGCTTGTTGAATATATATACACTTCAGGAACTGTCTCAATTTTGTACTTTTCCACAAACTTTACTTAACCACCTTTTCAGTAAGCATGGAGTAGAAGAGCAATTCTGAGTAGCTGTGTTGGGAGTAACTGACTAGTCTGAGCAAGCGTTTGCAGGACCCACCATGATGGAAAAGAAAGGAACCACCTACTCACCTAAGAGGACAAAGATGCAGGCTAGGATGGCAATGAGGGCGCCCCGGCTCAAACTGACTGGGAGCATGTAGGCCTCGGGGCTGCAGGACATGACGTGGCCTTCATCATCACAGCTGCATACCTGGATGGTAAGTGTACCTGTGCTGCTCAGCACTGGCTGCCCACTGTCTGCTATCAGGATGGGAAGGTAAAAGACGCTTTGTTCCTGCTGCCGGAAGCCAGACCTTCTGGTTAGAATCCGGGCAGTGTTATCTGAAGAAGTAAGGAGTTCCAGGGTTGAATAAGAAAAAGGAAAAATGAGAGAAGAAAATGGAAGAAACAACAGGTGAATTAATTTATGGAATAGAGGAAAGCAAGTGGGCAGGGATGGGGATAGGAAGGAAAGAGGCTAGTTTATGTTCCCTGGAACTGTTCATTTGTAGCTACTATAGGATGGCCTGGGTCAGTATTTGTATTTGGAAACCCGAGATTTTTGCTTGCCTTTAAGCAAAACCCTGAGGCCTAGGAGAGAAACACTTTTCTGAGAACCTGTCTCACCCTTTGTGACATGAAGTGCCTAGGGCGAACTGTCAACCTTCAGATCTAGCAAAAATGTCCCTAGGAAAGCTTGATAGAAGTGAACAATCACTGGCAACTTGTCCCTGTTTGTTCCTACTTAGCAGCTCTCCAGGCCCCAGTACTACTCTATGCCTCCAGGAAAATGCTGAGGAGCCCATGTGGCTGCAGTGGATTGCTTGTTTTTACCACTCTGGCTGGAATTCATGTCTTTTGCTATTTTCTTTTATGCCTCTGAATTGCAGTCCCTGACTTCCTGAAGAGCCTGCTCATTTAGTAGAAGGTTATTTGAAATCCTCTAAACATCTGACACACTCTATTATTTCTCCTGGCGTAGCAGTCTAAGTTTAAACAGTTAACATGAACTGGTAAAATTTGTTCTTGATCAGTAATATTAGTTATTTTCCCTTCATGTTTTTTTTAAAATAATTTGTTGATAATAATAGTTACATCTTTATGGAGGTACAATGTGATATTTCAGTGGTTTATATATTATCTATGATCAACTCAGGATATTTAGGTTATCCATCTATCATTTCAAACATTTATTTCTTCTTTTTGATGAGAAAGTTCAAAATCCTCTCTCCTGGCTATTTTGAATTATACATATGGTTGTATAATCACCCTCTGTGTAATAGAACACCAGAATTTATCCCTACTGAAATTATTCCTCCTCTAGCTGAATTAGAGATGTTTCTGCAAAGATGATGAGTACATGGGTTTATTTATATTTACATTTGCCTAATGTTAAGTTTTGAGATTTTTGATTGTTTTATATTCTTAGATTTCCTGGAGTGTCTTTGAATTCTAAAGTAGATATATTTTTGCAAAGCTCAGATCTTTTTAGCAGAGGAACAGTTTGAGAGACGTGGTAAGATATACAAACAGTGCCTCTCTCAAATCTAATATCATCAACGTGGAAGATTCCCTGGATGTGTTTCACATTTCCCATGGTGGGGCTTAGAATTTCACAAAAGCTTCTGAGAGCCTAACCAAAGTAAGCATTATTAGTGATCGTCAATACTTCTCCTTCCCTTCTTGGACTCAATGAAGGATTAAACTTTTTTAACCTCTTGAATTAGGACATATCTAAGTGATTTTCTTAATATAATTGATGAAATATGAGTAAAATTGATTTGTGTTACTACTTGCAGGCAGAAGCTTGAAGGAACTGATGTGTAGTTCTCTTGCCTTGCTGTGATAACTCAAAGAATGTTGTGGGATGGAACCCAAGCACTTTGGGATACTGAGCTTCATATGGTGAACAGTTGTCTTGGATAACTCAGATGTACTATGGGCTTTATTTGAGCAAGAAATAAACTTTGCTTGTGAAAAGCCACTGAAATTTTGGTTTGTCTGTTCCTGTAGCATAAATTAGCCTGTTCTGAATTATACACAATTCCTTAATTGCTTTTTCTTCCTCCTCCTTCCGTTTTTTTTTTTTTTTAAATGGTACACATGCTGGTGCTAGTTACATTCACTTTGTGTATAGTATCTCATTTCATCTTACCAAAAATTTGGTGAGATAGTGATAATTATATCCCTTTACAGTGAGAGAATTAAGGCTTAGACAATTTTATAATTTGTTCAGTCACTAACCTACTTAGTAGCAGACTGGGATTTGAACTCTGGACATACTGACTTTAAAACATTTACTCTTCTGGGGCTGGGGATATAGCTCAGTTGGTAGAGTGCTTGCCTTGCATGCACCAGGCCCTGGGTTCAATCACACACACACACACACACACACACACACACACACACACACACACATACATATACAATTTATTGGGTTATACAGTTACTTATTTAGTTTAGTAACATTGCCTGTCAAAAAATAACTTAGATAGTCAAGATCTCTTCCTGCTTTGATACAGGCTGTCTTCTTTTTATTTTCTGCTCAGTGAATAAAGATAGTAATTAGTTACCAATATGAGGCTTATAATCATATGTCCACTTAATATACAACCCATCTACCTGCTTTTCTGTTTTTAGACTTAATAGGTAAGTATGATTAATTGTGCTTTGTAGTTTTATTTTTTTTTTCAGAAAGCAGGTTTTCCTTGATTATTTTTATTTTTATTTTTTGGTTTAATCCTAACTATGTCATAAGACTAGATTATAAAAAAAGACTGACTAAAAAGCTGGCTGTGTGGCCCTCACCTATAATCCTAGCGGCTCAAGAGGCTGCGACAGGACCATTGCAAGTTCAAAGCCAACCTCAGTAACTATGAGGTGCTAAAGCAACTCAGTCAGATCCTGTCACTAATAAAATAAAAAATTGGGCTGGAGATGTGGCTCAGTGGTTGAATGCCCCTGAGTTCAATCCCCAGTACCCTGCAAGATACCCTGCAAAAATACTGACTAGAACAGTATTCAGAAAAGTAGTATATTATGTCTGCTAACCATGTTTCTTGATCTAAGAGTTATTTAAGAAGAAAAAAAATCAGAGCTTCATATTGCTAAGTCCAGTCTTGGAAAGAGTAGCCATTTGAAATTGGAATTTTTTTTTGTTGAATGTGATAATTGGGGCTTTTATAACCTTCTTGGAAAAAGTATTGTTTCTATAAATATAAATGTGTGTAGTGGGAAGATGGGCCACAACCTAGGATCTGACTACTAGTCTCAGTCTTAATGCTTGCTCACTCACTGATCTTAGGTCATTTGCTTACTTTCCCCAGCTATCATATAGAATGACAAGAATCAGAGGGATTAGTAATTTCCTTAAAGCCTTATAGATTCATTGTAAATATCAAAGTAAAGTATGGGAAAATTCTTTTGAAACTGTAAAGTGCTTTGTATCCATAATCCTCATAATATTTCAAGATTAGAGTATAAAAAAAGGCATTTTTTTGTGATAATGTCCTGTTGTGTTCATAAAAGGACATGATGATTCAGGTATGGGAGTTGGGCACTTGACATTAGGTCAACCATATCAGATGTTGATCAGTTTTTTAATAAGCCTCAATAAATGATACTGGTGGGATAAACTGTCATGTGGAGATTAGAAGTACATGCTTTCTGTTGAAGATGTACTGACTTCCATTTTGGGAAGCCTTCCAAGAGATGAGTCATATCTTTTTATTGTCGTTTTGTTCCACTGGACTATCTTTGTAAGAAATTGGTTTCATGAATCGGTGCCCAAAGTCATCTTTAATAAATTTGTAGCATTTTGCTGCTATAAATTTCTGTATTGATTTTGGCAAGTATGAGAGTGACACTTAGCGGGAAATTTGAAAAAACAGCATAAAGTGTTATCTTTCTCACTCTAGGGTTTCTTTTGTAAAATGAACCCTGAGGAGACTGAAACTGCTTTTGTAGAAGGTACTTCCCTATGAAGTAGATAAATGAATAGTTCAAAAAGTTTAACCAAATAAAAATCTCAGGATATTTTAATTGTGATTTTTCTGTTGTTAGGATTCATATTATCCTTCCTCCCAGAATTATCATACTGATTTTATGATAATGTGTGGTTTGAAGAATAGTTTCCAGTTAGAACAAAATAAATTTGAGATTCTCAGGTTTTATAGAAGAATATCATATGGGGTTGAATTAATACTTTAAATCTCAAATAATTGATGGTTGAGACTAAGACAAAGCATGCCTAATCATGACTTTTTATTACCCCTTGTTTATGTTGTTACAAAGTCATAATATTTTTGAATTGGAATGAAAATACATTTACTGCAGCCCAAGGAAATCATGACCTCCTCAAGGTCAGATCACTGTTTGGTAGTGAGTTAACAACATAAGGAGTTGATTTGACATATTTAATATATTTTTGCAATTGCACTGATCTTTCTTTGGAACAAATCATCTCACTAGAGAACAAAAGTCCCCCTTTTTCCCCATCTTTATTCAAAAAAGTGTGTCTTTAATCTCCTTTGCTTTTCTGAATACTTGTTGGAGAAGGGCCTAGAAGTACAATTCTAGCAGAGATTGCAGTGGGGGGCACTTTCTGCAATAGGACCCCCACCTGGGTATGTATTTTTAAATTATAAATTTAGACTTTATAAATTATAAAGTTGTTTTGGTGGTCAAACTGCTTGTTTTCCTCTGTTTGCCCTTTACTACCTTATTTAGCTGTTGCCTCCCCTTTGTTCTGAGAGATCTTCACTGTTTCCCCCCTTGGATCATTGATTAGAACTGTTCCCTCAGGATTTTCCTCTTTATCTAGATCACTGTTTATTATTTTCTCAGGTTATTCCCATGTTTCAGTACATGTAAACATGGCTACTATCTATAGAAATAAAGGAAGGATTTTGTCTTTGTGTCTTGAACAGGGTTTGGCACAGAACAAGCATCTTTTTATACATTTGCCAACTGAGTGATGAATGGAAGTTTTAGAGTCAGCAGAGGGCACTCTCTGTTTTTTGTTGTGAAGCTGAACTTAAAAAAAAAAAAAAAAGAAGACTGTGAAGTAGCATTAATATCCTCCTTCCTGTTAAGGAGCAGGCAAACTTTGACACTGTTTGCATGGTACACTGACTGAAAGTATCCAGCCTAAGCTATCAAATGGGATGATGGGAATCAGAGGGATTAGTAACTTACAAGTTCATTGTAAATATCAAAGCACAGTATGGGGAAATACTTTTGAAATTATAAAGTGCTTTGTACACTTAATCCTTTTAGCCATTTATACCCCTTATTACCTTGGTTGTCCCTTACGGTGAAGTTTGGATTGTTAGCAGCCTCTGGAGCCAAGCTGTAGTAGAAATGCTGACCATTGTGTGGGTCATCTTGGTCCACAGCACTTACTGTCTGGATCAGCTGAAGGAGGGATATGAAATCAGGTGAGTTGGAGTCAAAGGAAAAAGCTTCAGGGTCCAGTGAAATCTCAAGCCTTGAAATTCAGTGATAGGTTGTTTTACCTAATGAGAAAGATATCATGATGCTCACCTGAGAAGTTTCCATGCCATCACATAATTCCAAAGTTAATTTTGGTTTAATGTTGGGCCTGAGTATGTTAATAGGCATAGGTAAATGTTACCTGAATACTTGAGACCTCAATATAGCTTATAGTCCTACACCATGGTCAGTCATTTTTAGACAGTATAAATATAAGACTTTGAGTAAAAGAACTGTTTAGTGCCACAAGTTCCTGTTTATCCCCCTAATTTTCCTCTTTGTATCCTATCTTAACATCGCAGGGTGAAAATTCAGGGTTAAATTGTTATCTTTTAGAAACTCTATTTAAGAGTGTTTATTACTGCCTAGGAGGGAATTAAGCAGAAACATCATCACTGGTTATATTAAAGTAAGAGAAAGCAGATGTGAATGTTGGGGTTACCTGACAGTCATATTTTGTTGGTGGGAGGTAGAGCTAGAAAAGATATCCCCAGAGTGGGAACAGACTAGAGTCAGAAGCTAAGATTGGTGGTGGGGAGAACAAGAGGTGGGGTGGCTTCCTGTTGAAAGGTTTTGTCAAGGTTTTGTCTGTTCCACAATGTTCTTCAAAGGAATAAGTTCCCATGAAGGCTCTGGAGACCATGATGAAAAAGCCACTGAAGAAAGCAGTGTAAAACAGAATTGCAACAATAGTAGGTGGGGTATGGGCAGTACAGAAAAGGTGGGCAGTACGAGATATAGACATTATTGATGGTTGAGACTAAGATAACACAAACTTTCCCTATTGCATATTTTAAAGGATTGGGCTATTCTTAGGAAAAGAGCAAGACTCTTACTTCTCTTGATCTGGATGGTGTCTCCCTTCTAGATTGAGAGCAGGTGTTTTATAGTTAGAATGATAATGGTTTTGTTTCAAGATGGGTAGACAACTTACACAGGCTATCTGTGAATCAAGCCTCTGTCAAAGCCCTGTTTAGATCATAAAAAGTAGTATAGTTCCAGATAGTTGTCTTAATATGTAAACTGTTGAAAGCTGGTGTACAGAATTTGGGGACGGTTTTTAAAACTGTACTGGTGGAGTGGAAATGTCTTTGATGGCAAATTTGGTTATTTGAAGCAATGTTTCTATACATTGGGGTGCCTGGCTTATAGGCCATCTTACCTGCCCAGCTTTGGCATTCTCACAGACAAAAGCTTCATAGAATCTGGGGAACTCTGGAGCATTGTCATTCACATCTAAGACTTTGATTGTGACAGAAACACTTCCCACCTGGGAGGGATTGTCTAAAGAGAATGCAAGAAAAACTGAAGGTGAGAATTCTATAATGCAGAAAAGTAGCTCTTTGCTGAAAGTAGGTATTTATTGGGTCAGTTTTGTTTGCAAAGAAATGGATAAAATACATGGAAATGGGAATATAAGCATAGGATGTGTGTGTTGCCTGTCAAGAGTGTGTGGCCAGACATAAGAAGCTTGGACAGAAGGAAGTGTCT